CCTACAGACGCAGGAGAGACAAACCAAAAAAATAGCAAAGCTAAACATGGCAAGGAATTGTTACTTGCTTTTTTTAAAAAATATGGAGTATTAAAAACAACAAAGCTAAAAGTAAGCAAAAGTGTACTTGGAATATTAACAAACTTCTAATTTTTTTTTTTTTTCAAACTCAAAGTATTTCATTGAGTCCTAACTTCATTCATTGAGATATTTTAAATTTCCGTAGTCTTCAACCATACATTCCATCTAATTATGTCCTAAAGTGACCTGCAAAGTCAACCATAGGCGTTCCCTTGGAAATAGAGAAAGAAATGCTAATATAATTTGATAATGATTATTTAAAATTGTATATGTTGGCTAGAAATATCTGAAAGAGGACTTTCTAAAACCCTCAAACCCCTGAACAGATAATAACTAAAGAAAATAAGAGCCACCGCATTTAATAGCAGGGCATTCAGTATATATTTCTCATACCATGAAATTTCATGTCTGCATTGTCTTTTAAGACTATGTGACAAATGTATCCAAAAATACAGCTCAGATATTCTCAGGTCTTGTATTCTAAGCATTTTCATACAAAATCAACAAATTAAGAATGTGTATTACACTAATTATTTACCTCTTTTAATCTCTCTTTTTCACAGTTGCATAAGAAAGTCCCAAAGAGGCAACTGTAAAGGTGATCCAGAATGGTGATTAAAAATAACTCGTTGAATTCAAAGGCTGCAGGAAACTGAAATAAAAAATTGCTAAAATTACTTTAAACTTTATTTTAAGCAGTGTAGAAAGGAAGAAACTCAGACATAAGAAATAACCAGAAGATTCAGATAAGATTTTTTTTCTTATTTAGTGATTATTTTCAGGAAAACTCAGCAATTTCAGTAACTCCCATTGCAATAATACATTTCACCCACATACTACTTTATAAATACTCCTCGGAGACAAACCTTACATTCATTATGCAAGTATACTAGAATACAAACATAGAAACATTAGCTAATGTGAAACTGGTGACACAAAGCAATCCATTTTAAGGAGCTCTAACAGTATTCTGTTCTAACCCATCCCAAACTGTCTTCAACATATGCTTTATTTCTCTTGTTACAGGACAATAAATCATTTTGTGGGGGGGAAAAAAAAAGATGATGACGACATTTAAGAGTTTTATTTCCTAGTCTAACATGCAATGAATTGGATAATAAAGACTACTGCACGTACAATATATTTAAAATGTTTCTTTCACTTTCTACCCAAGTAAGTTACTTTTCTCCATTTCACCCCTTGAGTTTACCATCAGCTATGTACAATAATTTAATCCCCCTTCTTTTATATTGGAAAGTAAATCCTGTTCGTCTGAAATAAAAGAACTGTTATTCCACTGAGCACCACTAGGTATTTTATTCACAAGCAGAGGTTACCTGATACATTCCAGGAAATAGAGTTGATAATTTGAAAACACTCAAAATGTTTAAGATATATCTTAATCTGTAGTGCTCTAAAAATCATAAAGGAAGGAATTAATGCAAACTGCATGGGCTGCTACCTATTCAGACAGAAAAGGTCCTTCAATCAAATTTTATGATAGGACTACATATGGCAACTGTTTGATGTGTCAAAATAACTTTGTGTTCAGTATGACAAGGGTCTCAAACACAAATACGGAATGATAAACATTTAGGAGAAAAAAAAAATGTAGAAGACTAAAGGAAAATTTAAGAAGTAGCATTTCTCTCATTACCATGACAGAGAATGTTATAAGAGACTAATTGTCAGGAAAAATGAAACAAATTTTGTTCATTCCCACTAAAGGAGTAAATCTTTACAGAAGTCTAAAATGCAAAGTTACAGATTCATTAGGAAGAATTTCCTGTTATATGGAGAAATCTCAAGTCAATATTTTGGATCTGAAGAAAGCAGCGGACTGGTTTCTGTTATGTGCCACTGAAGAATACTGAACACCTTGTTGTGAGTGACTCAAGAGCTATTTTAAATAAAAAAAAAAAAAAAGACAATGAGTATAGCTAGGAGGAATAACACAGCAATTGGGACTGCGGATGAACTAGCTGATTCAGAAATTCCTCTTCAGCGTCATCTGTGATCTATGAAGGGCAAATGTTTATTCATGTTGAAAGTAAAGAGTTGAATAACACACAATGGGTGTGCTTGTATTAAACCCAGAAAGATGTAAGTTTTAAGCAATGTTCTTTTAAAAGAAGACTGATTTAAGTCAAACATTGCAAAAGCATTCTCTTTCCAAGACTTCTCAAGCTAAGATATACCAACTTTCAACTGAAAATTTTGAGTAAGGAAGTTATCAATATCATGGCTCACAAAATGAATGGGAGCCTGCCTTCTTCTGACTCTGCTATGGATTACGCACAGTTCAACAGCACAGCGTGCTCACACTAGGGCTTCTCTCTCAAATCACTGGTTTGTTTTCAATCGCCTAGCCATTTGTTTCCATAAAACATATAGGAACTTAAGATTATTAAATTCTCTTTTTCAGTCATGTTCAAAAGATATCACTTACAGCACTTCCTTCTCTCTCGGAAATCATGCCAAAATTCAATTACAATACAATGATGTTAACAACACAGCTAGGATTTTAAAAAAGTATGAACAGAACTTGATAAGCAGGTGTGCTGAACCAAGTCAGGAGAAAATTCAGTGGGTCTCAGACCTCAATCTCCTGCGCCCAGCCCAAAGCAGCAATGAGATACAGAGAGCAAAAATAATTTGCACAGGATCGAGATGATATTTAGACGTAACTTTGAAGACAAAGCCTCTCCTAAAGTACTTTCTTTAACTGAAAGCACTTAATGAGCCTTGTCACATTAGGGTTCTGTGTTGTGATGGTTCCATACTAATCAGAGAGATGCCAACATGGCCACTATTCCAATCCAGTGAAGCATATTCAAAATTCCATACATCAGTGGTTGCACTCCAACTAATTTATTAATAAGTGATAGCACTTTATTGAAACTCTGTCTTTGGATACAAGAGTTGTACTGTTGGAGCTGATGTATCAAGACTGTAAAGCTTCTATTACCGCTGCTGAGAAATCACTGACCTAAAAATGCTTTCCTCTGTAGTTCCAAGCCCATTAGCGCCTGTTTGAAGATTCAGGTGGAAATGAAAACTTACTTCTTGTCAAATCCACTAATTGTGAGAGAACACATGGGTCATTAAAATCTCCCACTTGATGCTGCTGGAGTTGTTGGGGGTTTTTGTAAAGGAGGTATTTAAAAGAAGAATTCTCTTGTTTAAAAGTCTGATGATGCCAAATGGCATCTGATTCAGAGACATGCAAAATAAACTTGCTTTTTAATCAATGAACTTGTTCTGTACTACAGTAACATTTAAAGTTGAAACACTTTCTGGAATAGTTCTTATGATTGTGGAATTGGACTGAATCAGGTTAACTGAACACTAGATATCATAACAGAGTACACTACTGAAACTAGTGAAAAATGAATCTCTGGCAACAGACGACATCTGATAACAAACAGGATGCAGCTTTCTACCAACTTTAAACATACCTTCCTCCTATGTGGGTACTGTGCATGAAAGGTAGAAAGCTACTACTTGAGCTGCAATGCTACATGCACATTTTACTGTTTTGTTTCACTTTTAACAGGGCATCAGTATTTCATCAGATCACATGTGGCCTTTCCAATTTGACATCTGCTATTCAAAATCACCAGAGGAGGGAAATCACTTCACCGTATGTTTTTTATTAAAATCTGATATCAATGTACTTCTCTCAAGTTCTCTAGTACTGTATTTGTGTGTCATGAAGACAATAAAAACCAAGGGAAAATATAAGGCTGTCAAGGATTGAGTTTCATTGTCTGAAGCTATCTGGAAATTTCTGTCTTAGTGGGAAGTTAGAGATTCTCTCACTGTATTAAGTCGACTGCTTTAAGAATGTAATTCTCAGAAACCGAAAGACAAAATTTGCTTGCTTTGAGCCCATGCCCAAATCCAAGCCCTTACACCCTCCCTCAGTCATTAACACTTATTTGAGCTTTGGAACATTTCACATATGTTTACCATGGATTCTAAAGCACGAAACTAGCACTGTTTTATGAGCAAGTGATCTACGCAAGGATAAAATAGAACCCTGGTTTCCACAGGTCCATGTCAAGGTAATCACAACCTTCACATTTATTCTTTAGCTGTTGAAGTCAACTAAAAAATAAAAATAAGTGGGCAAGAACTCTCCAAGAATGACATTTTCAATTTTTTTCCTGCTGTAACATTAATGATTTTTCAATGCCACTGCTGTTCATGAATTTCAGAACAGTTTCTGAATCCAGGTTTTGAACAGATGTGGTATTGGCAAAATGTTTCACAGATTCCCCCCGCCCCCTTTTTTTTTTTTTTAAACTAGAGGGAACTAAACTGTTTATAGCAAGAAATAGGAAGCAGCAAGGGAGATCACAAAAATAGAAGAGGTTGCTCTCAATTAAGGATCTCCCCAGAGGACTTTTGTTCCTACCAGGTGTTTAGAACTGCTTCTTCTCTTTGCTATTGTTATTAGCTTTCCTCTGAGAGAGGGGCCGAATTTTTCATTTCTTTTCTCCAGCCATGCTAAACAGCATATTAATGCTGAAATATAGATACACAGAAAGAGAAAGTCTTCAAGGGACTCTGGACAAGGGCCCAGTATTACAACAGGGAACTTTCATAAAGCAACGAAGACGACTGTTTTGAATACAAGTTTTGGAAACTATGATGTAAGTTTTTAAGAACCGTGTTCAGAACAAGAAGACTGAGGTAAGACATCCGGGAATGCTAGCATCATATGGAACCAGACTGCTACCCTCTCCTCTTCAAAACAAATCACATTCTATACAGACTTCAGTATAATAGCTTTTACCATAACAGCACGGATCTGTGTGAGGCTTCAAGGAGGAAAAAAAAAAAAGAGAGAGAAAAAAAAAAGAAAAAAAGGAGTCAAGCACTTCTAATTTACTTGGAAATAAAGCCTTCATGTGGACAACCTATTTCAGTAACCCCATTAAAGAACAGCAATATAAAAGCTCAGAAAGATCTTAATTTATGCTCATGGAGGTACAAATAAGGAAAATGAAGGCTAAAGCCGTTCTATAACTTAACTTATTCAGAAAAAATAAAAGAGAATTTTAGTATTTTGATATTTTAAATATCACTAATTTCAAAGATCTCCCCTGATCCAGAGGTAAAAGCAGTGTTGGAAGTAAGAAAACTTATCTGAGAATAGGCTCGTATGTCAGAAATGCTGTCCTGTATGCATAATGATGCCAACATTAACTTACATTTCACATTTGAGACATACATAGAAGAACCCTCTCCTCCTCTCAGTTCACAATCAGCCTGGATTTTTGCTGTTTCTTAAGGACAATATAAATTCATACAAACATTTACTCCACCAGTGAATATGCAATGCAAATAATTTATCCCATCAATAACCCTCATTTACGTAATCAGAGAATCCTTTGAAAGCCTATTTTAAACAAAGGGATTCCTGGTATTTTGGTTTCAAGTCAATGCTTCCACTCTAGCTCCTTGTACCTCACTTTGAGCAAAAAGTTTCCCTGTGTGTGCACGGTGCAGCCATAGCACGACCAACTTCAGGAAATCATGCTACTGCTCTGCAAAGGAATGTGTTCTCCTACATTAATTACGTTTGCTAGATAGAGACTGAGACCTCATAGAAGGTTAAGCATCTTACCTGCTTAGTCATTTGCCAAACACAGTCGATGAACTGAAGGAAAATGGGAGATCTGTCTGCATCAGCATGATCATCATCTCCATGTCCTACTCGCTGAAAGTCAAAACAAACTCCTCATTTCAGTCTAGTGTATTTACGGTACCATCCCAACACTTTAAAACTCATTAACTCTTAAATATGTTCCAATGGCAAGACAAGCAAATCCTACATAACGCTAGCCTGTATTTTTCAGCTACTAAAAATGCATCCCAATATTCACTTATGGACAGGCCTTTGCTGTTGAGCAGAGCTGGAAAGACACTTGGTCAACAAAGCTGTGCCAGTCGTTTCCCCATCTTTCACTGCACAGCCATTTATTTCTACCAGTGGGTCAAACTGGCAGGTATTTACTAAAAGTGTACTGAAACAACGATTATTCCATATCCACCTGCATAACTACTGTCATTTCTCCTAAACCATCTTAGAGTCAGAGCCCACAAAATGTCATAATAATTTATGTCCCAATTCCCCACTAGCCCATGTGTTACATAAACACTTCAACCTTAAATCAGAGTGATGGTTCCAGCAATTTTACCTTCTAGACACCTTAATTGTTCTCCTTGTTTCTCCATTCATAAGATTGTTAAAGATGAAGCAATGTGTTACAATCCCTCTTCCTCATAAAAAAATCCATTTTTTTTTTTTTAACCATTATGTTCAAGCCACTTAATTCTTATTTACTTTATATTATACCTCACACACAGATTTCCTGTTAAAAATGAACAGGTCACAATTCTCTGACACACTCACACCATTAAAAGAAGGACACCAGAGATAATAGCTAAAATGCAGCAGTGTACTGAGAGAAAACATACTATTCAAAATAAAAGTCTTGAAGGTGACAAACTGCACACTAAATCTTTCAGCTTACCATTGCAAATCGGTGTCCAAAACTTATCCATTCTTTCTCTATAAGAACTTCAAACCCCTTGATAGTTCTGTAATAACTGTCCAGCATAAGCATAGCTAGCGCAGTAAGCTGTGCAGTTCGATCCCAACCATCACTGCAGTGTACCACTACGGATGTTTTACCAGATTCAATTTTATCCGCAATTCTTACTGCTCCGGCAAGAAGCATCTTAAATAAACAAAAAGAAATAAACAAGCATATTAAATACTAACCAAAACTCTACCAAAAAAAAAAGAGTTACAATTTTATACTCTTAAGGTTAATATATTTTAAAATTTCAGATTAATTTCATAATCATCTGGACAACTTCAATTAAATTAGAGATTTCAAAATGGTGGTATGCATAATCCTAGAGGTACCAAAAACTGTGCACTCTGTTGTCCAGAATAGGGTTCTTACCAGCTCTCCATTATTAGTAGCACATAGCAAAAGAACCTGGGAATCCCTTCTCTAAATTAAATCTGAAATCCTGTATCATGACGAAAAGACACAAATACTGTAACCTATTCCAAAGGCTGAAGGTTCAATGTTCTCAAAGTTCATTTTCACAGTAATCAATCACTCTTCCTTCCTCAGCTTTCCGTTCTCAACTACTAAGTTTAGAGAAAGGGACAAACTATCCAGCTAACCTAAACCAAAACACAACCCAAACAAACCCAGAAACCCCTGGCTGGGAGCCTGTGCTGGTGTGTTGGTGCATGAAGTATACATTGTATTCAACCCATGAGCAGACCATTAATAGTGTGGACTCAGAAGCATGCTGGAAAGCAAAGGATAGAGATGGCACAGGACTGAGATCACCTCTGTGAACTTGTAATTCTTCTCCCCCACAAAAAAACCCTCTCTTGTTCTCTTATGCTGCTCTGTAGTTTTTTAAAAACTTGAATAATCTCTCTCCTGTGAAGATTTGTTTCTGTAACTTGACCTATCATGGCACTGAAAAATATGTGAAAAACCCCAGCCACTAGAATAAGACCACAGGAGAAATTCCTATTCTGCATTCCAACATCAGAAAATGGAATCTTGCAAAATACTTGCATTTCTCCCTTCCCAGGCATGTAAAAACATCTTCTGAGAAGTAGGTAAGCCAGCATCCACTGGACAAGCTGTGTACAAGACCAGTCTTCAAAATTATTTCAAGAACCATGCTTTAGAGACAATTTTCATTGACTATATCTTTCATTGATTGTATCTTTTTTGGTAAAATTGAAGGATGCCAGCATGGAAATATCAGGAAACAATACAAAAGCTTCTATGGGAGAATAAAGCTTGTGGTCTGAACTAGTTAATTGCCCATTACTTCAGTTAAAAAGCTCTACTGCACTAAAAAAGTGCAAATATTAAAACAGTTTAGTCTTCAATAAAAGCAGAAAACTAATCTATATAACATACAGGTATGCAATAGCTTGCTCTACTAAATTGACCTAAAGACAACGCAGATGCCTCTGAAGGAGTACCGCTGAAAATAAAAGGATAGAACAGATACAGGCAATAAGCAGAGAATGGGAGACTGAAAATAGAGTTACTATTAATTCAGTAAATATCTGCAGAGTAGGTGAAGCATTTTATTCTACTTTGGACAAAAACCTTTAGAAAACAGCTTCCTCCACAAACTATTATTATTTTTTATAGATGTTTCAAAACTTAGCAACCATCACAGTATTTTAGTTAGGGCTCCTAATGAATAAACGGCTTCGGATTGGTTTAGAAAATGAGAATTGGTTTAAAAATAATTAATAGCACAAGTTCTACCCTGAAAGACAGAAAATACCCTGAAGGGCATGAGGAAACATCCTGGGTGTGCAAGAAGCACCAAGTGACTCTACTCCTGTTGTTACCACTGTCTTCACACACACAGAATGTTACTGGTGCCTCCCAGACACTCCTGGACCATCTTCAAAGTGCTGTGGGTGCCCAGTGATTGGAAGGTGAATTTCCAGTAACGCATTGCATTAACCTGGGACACAATCACACTGGTCTGAGCCCAGAAAACAGAAGATGCATTAGAGTAAAGCTGTGGATTTGTTAATTGCTATTACAAGCCAAATCAAATAAGCAAGGAAGGCAAGCAATTCTTGGATAAAAGCACACGGAGATACTATCAACACTGTTAACACAGTAATGGTTGCTTTTAAGAAATCAGGCCACAGTTTGTGCTGTCAATATCGTAACGTGAAGTATCACGTAAGGGACAGGTTCATGAAGAATGTTACATGAGTGTCAACTCTTTAAAATAATTTAAATGAAATTTCAAATTGCTATGCTATCGTCATCTGTGCAACAGTGGTATCAAGGACCCCTTCTGACACCGTCTAAGTCCAGGAACCCCACTGAAGTCAATGTCAATGAAAGGTGACCACTGGCCCAAACAGTTGGTTTTTTTTTAAATAGACTATTGTATTTAAGGCCAGGCTAATAAGAAAAGTCTTCCAGATACTCAGATTCCCAAAGCTGTTTGAAATAGTCCAACTTCAAGACAACAAGAAAATTAAACTGTTCCCAAAAGATCATTGAATTTGTTTAATTCTTAATTTAAGTGTTTGCTCCCTCTACTGGTTCTCTAGCTTAGCAAGCACTAGTTAATAGAAGAGTAAAACTAATGAACAATCCCAAACACGTTTTGCATGAGTGACATTTGAGCCAGTTGCTAATAAAACAAATTCCACTCCATCCATATTCATCATAAACAGGAGAGTGAATGTGGTAATGAAATAATCTATTCTAAAAGCATTTCAGAGGTTAGTGAAACAGACTGTAAAACTGAAGTATGGTAGTGATTTATTTTAATATTTTGTTAAATAATAGAGCAGATTATAACCCAGTAGAGCGCTGACTATAAACAGCCCATGAAAATGTAGGTGCTCGACACATGAACACTAACATCGCATTGAAGGAGGGAAGGATGAGAAAGACTGCAGAATTTACAGTCAAGACCTTCTGGCAGTTGTTCAAATATAATCTGAAGTTCCCAGGGCATTCTTCCAAAAAGCAGGGATAACCCTAGACTGCTCACAAACATTCCCTCTCAAGAAAATAAAACATTGTCCAACACTAAATACGATACTGTGCTATCAGGAATTAACTCATTACCTACCAATACATAAAACTGGAAATACAAAGTTATTATGGAATGCTTAAAATGCTATGTTCTAAGTGACCATTTAAAAATTAAGTTTTTTTACAAGATTATCCTGATCAAAGCAATGTGCTTAAATCTAGACATTATTTTAGTAATATTTTCAGAAATGCAAGTTAAAAACATGGTTTAAAAAAACAATTGATTTGCCACATCAGAAGTATTTTACCCTTATATATTCCAGCCAATGTGTGGAGTCCACATTTGATAACCACCGAGTCTCATCAATAGTAGGGTAAACTATTTCTTTAAGTTTACGCAGGGATTCTCTCATTACGTGTATATTATGAATTTCCAGAAAGACCAGCTCTGCATTTGGGTAGGCACCTTCACTTTCATATCCTCCACCTTTTGCCTGTCATTCAAAAAGTGAAAACAGACAAAGAAAAGAACATGTACAGGACTTCATCATGAGGTTGAGAGAGTTATTTTGGTCAGGTTTCAGGATTTTCTGAGAGAAAGGATTATTTTAGCAGTAATAAAAACATATTTTTGGCTTTTGTTTTTCTAAGAAGCACTAGGGTATTATTTTAGGTGAAAGAAATTCTAATTGTAACAGGCTACATTTGATAATACATTCACATACCTTCCCCTTTTTACTACTGAAACCTTTGGTCTTCTGTGGGCTTTACTGCATCATTTCTCAGCTATGTCTTCATGCTGCCTTCAATTCCTGCCGGCCTTTCCAAAATGCTATGAGCAACTTTCCTTCCTTCCCATGCCCTCTTTAGAGACTCTTTTTTATCTCTTTTCAACATCAAGTTCTCCTCATCCTCATCTCTCACTCAATCTTCAGACTTGTAATAAAGATAGAACTACTAATGCTAGTTATGATACCAGCCTACCTTGTTTGTATCTGCAACACTATTCTGTCTGGCATCAAAGATGATAAGTTTATGTGACTGAGCATTGGCATCCATTATTGTCTGCAAATATTTTTCATCTTCTTTGCAACGCTTATCATTTGGGCCTACCGATGGCTGACTGCATCGTGTTATTGTTGCTTGGCTCTCAGGATGAATCCAGGATAACACCTGGAATAAAAGAAAATTGTTTTAGTTTACTATACTGCTATAAAGGCAGCAGGCCAGAGTGCAATTAGACAATCACACTGCCTACATGGCATTGTTTCCTGGCAAATCAACAAATGCAAATTTAAGGACAAGCTGACGCAAAACCATATTGACAGCACACTAGCACTGCTCATCCCAAATCTGAGCATGAAATACAAAGTCATTCTAAACATCTTAGCTTTTATTTCTAATAAGCCTGCATCTTACTAATTAGAAAAAAAAGAACAATGGAAGAAGAAAAACTGCTTCCATGTGGAAGTCTGTGGACCTGTACACTACCTTGCTAAGCAGATCTATAGCATGAAAACTGTCACCATCTAACATATTGGCCAAGAAGGCCAACGGCATCCTGGCTTGTATCAAAAATAGTGTGGCCAGCAGGAGTAGGGAGGTGATCGTGCCCCTGTACTCGGCACTGGTGAGGCCGCACCTTGAATACTGTGTTCAGTTTTGGGCCCCTCACTACAAGAAGGACATTGAGGTGCTGGGGTGTGTCCAGAGAAGGGCAACGAAGCTGGTGAAGGGTCTGGAGAACAAGTCTGATGAGGAGCGGCTGAGGGAACTGGGGCTGTTTAGTCTGGAGAAGAGGAGGCTGAGAGGAGACCTCATCGCGCTCTACAACTCCCTGAAAGGAGGTTGTAGCGAGGTGGGGGTCGGTCTCTTCTCCCAAGTAACAAGCGATAGGATGAGAGGAAATGGCCTCAAGTTGTGCCAAGGGAGGTTTAGATTGGATATTAGGAAAAAGTTCTTTACTGAAAGAGTGGTCAGGCCTTGGAAGAGGCTGCCCAGGGAAGTGGTGGAGTCACCATCCCTGGAAGTATTTAAAAGACGTGTAGATGAGGCACTTAGTGGGCATGGTGGTGTTAAGTTGATGGTTGGACTCGATGATCTTAGAGGTCTTTTCCAACTTTAATGATTCTACATTTAAAGGGGTTCTTATGCTACCTGCGAAACTTGTCTATTCTCAAGAAAACTGCTATGGCTGTAACAGATTCCACACCAAATCAGAACACAAACTAATATATGAATTAGCATCAGATACCATTGCGGCTTAGAAGTGTTAACTCCAAACAAAAATGTATTATACGGCACAATAACCAAGCAATTAAGACTCACATTTGAGTTGCTCTCTTCAGTTCTAAGCCCATCAAGCCTAATTCTTCTTTCTTTGCCCCTCCCTTTCAGGAAGGAATCCGGCCCACTGTTATTTAAAAGAACTCTGATAATTTTTTATAAGCTACAAATTTATAGAGCACTTATATCGCCTTGTAAAAGTTTCACTTACTGGAACTCTGCCTTTTGCTCTAAATGCTGCCACTTTTGAGAGGTCATCATCCTTTACACTGGTTGGCACAACAAGAATAGCAGGGTATGTATCACAAAGCTCATAGGTGCTGTTAATTTTGGATATTTTCCAACTCTCATTGGGCAAGCCCTGTATGAAAGCAAAACATTTTTGTATTTTTCAGGTTATACCTTTACATATCTGAGTTTGGGGCGATGAAAATTTTTATGTGCTACGTACTTTTTTAAAAAAGAGTGCCCACATTTTTCTTTTAAATAAACTATAAACTTTAGGTCTTCATATTGAACCATAAACCAGAACACTGCAAGTCTTTCCTATTTATTATCTTTAAAACTGATATGCAAAATAACCATTTGAATGGCTGCACACTCAGGTAACAACTGATCATATAGTGAAATAAAAACACTTTTGCAACTAGGAAACTGTAGATTTACAATGACAAACTACGGTTACTCTTCTGTTTAATGCTGCTTATTCAAAACCAAATTTTTCTAAAGCCTATACTTTCTAGAAGCAGCACTTGGAAAATGTGGATTTAAGAATGCATGTTAAGATGGACCAGTTTGCTCAAGTACTCAGCACCTGTTATCTCCATCAACCTTAGCAGGCGCTCAACACTCTCAAAGTCAGGCCACTTGCATTTTATTATCTCAACATGAGATCTAGACAGTCCCTGTATGTAGCTAGAGCTAAAAATTTTGAGTTTTCTTTAATAATTTTTTCCTTGTTTAAATGGCTCTGGGGGAGATGGAGAAAGAAATAATACACCAAGTACTTATATAACTTACCTGCCTCTTATATTCTGCCATTGGATCATACACTTTCCAGCCATTAACAGCAAACTTTTCCTTATAGCTGAATGCAAAAAGAGGCTAAAGACAACAAAGCAAAGGCATAAATTACTGTCTGATGGGCTGTACGCACAATAAGTTCCAAACCAGTGAACCTTCTAATATTTCAAAGGTAACACTTCTAAAACTTTTTAACAGCAGACATAAAACCTTCAGTCAAGACTGGATAACACTGAACACTGTGCTAGAAAGAAAATGAAAGACAGTTTCCTCCTTCAAGTACATGCTATGTAGTTAACAAAATCAAGACAGGAAACAGTCAGAGAGTCGAAGTTACTTGCCCGTGATCATACAACACATCAATGGCAAAGCCAGGATGAGGAAATTGGTCTCCTACCTCCCAACCAGTTCCTTACCCATAAAAGCAAATGAAATAGCATTCTGCAGCTGACTAATAATAAGACCAATTGTATGTATTTGTTCTTTTAGACAGAACTTCTAGACTGAATTATCTACTGCAGAAAATAAGAGTCAATACATACATATTTTTAATCAGCAACATTAGGTAAATCTAGATCTCAAGGGTAACGTACAAATTAACTAACTTCACCGATAGCAGGACATAGCATAATGTTTTATGAATTAATGCAAAAAGGAAACAGAGTCAGAGTAGCTTGCCTGCTCTGTAACAGATTTTATGAATCAACATTTCAATGTTTGTTATACAGCTCTTGTACTTCCTCACCTACACTTTCCAAAAAGAGGAGAGCCAGTGACAGCCTTCTCTACATCTTAAGACTTACCAGCCCATTAGAAACAGGAAACGCGCGTGTTACAAGGTTTTCAAAAATCTCCAATCTGTTCTGCTCTTCCTGTTTATAGGCCAGCCGCAAATTTCTCATATCCTGTCAAAAAGAAGTTATACTATTTTACTCTATGATAAATTAAAAAAAAAAAAAAAAAAAAAAAGGAGCGGGCGGCGGGTTTTGGGTGGGAGCGATGT